CTATTTCAGAATAACCTTTTTTTCAATTTTTAGCTGCACAACAGCTTAAAATCATGAAGTTGAGCACTATCTGTTCTTAATATCACGTTCCTTCGTAAGGGTGAGTTTAATACATTTCGCATTGGTACTGTTAAAGAAAAAATGTTTTATATCTATCTGCACCTACCTGCAACCTTTTAATAAAACCTTCTGTGGCTTATCACCAAGGTCATATTTATGCAAATAGGAAATTTTTACCATACCCATGACTAACAACAGGTAAACAAAATTGGTTGTACACGTGTATATCACAATTTTGGAGAAATAAAATTATCATTATTTATCATAGTTAATCAAAAATACTGGATAAGAAAGTTTTAACAGACATGAAATTCGTATTTTATTAGGGACCCATGATTTTCCGTTGTACCGAGTCCAGGAATCAATAAATCGGTGCCTAGATATCACTTCTTTCGATTCAATACGAAATAATCAGAACGTGTTTATAACAGCTTTTACCTCATATGTTAATATATTATTATTATAATCAAATTGCACACTCATCAATTGATGAATACCGAGAAAAATGAGTACCATTGCCGTCTCGTTAACATTAGTTGTCAGAGAGGATAATTGAAATTGAAATAATTCGTATCGTACTGGACCTCCTTGAACAAAAATGGTTTTGGTAAGTTCATACCGGTATAATTTTGTACCAATTGACTGTGACAATATTATTTATAAAATTGATTATTATTTATTTTTTAACAGCAACACGACAAAATCTGTTTCGGACCAAAAATTATAATAGTAACAATAATAATAGTTAAGGCGGTTGGAAGCAGCGTATTTATTTCACGTTGTAGACCTAAAAGCCTGACAAGATTACACATACTTAAAATCATCATAATTCAATTCTATAAAAAGATTTGAGTGGATCAACCTTTTTTCTAAGTTAATGTGGAAATCGATTTTTGATATTTGTTTGAAAATTTTCTTTAAATCTTATTTGAGTTTCTCAATTTTTTTTTTTAATTTTTAGATTTACTTAAGTGTATTTTTTAAGAATGTTAAACAGTGATTCTAAAATCGACTTCCACAATGACCTAGAAAAAAGGTTGATCCACTCAAATCTTTTTACAGAATTGAAATCCCATTATTTGGAGTTGACGTTTTTTTGTCAGGCTTGATTAATTTTTAGAGTTTCTTTTTCGGAACAAAATATTTTATTTCATCAAATGCTATGACTTGTGCATGCGCGTGCGAACCATTAATTGTTTCCCCGAAACGTTAAATGCCAACGCGCAACGCCAGCCGCCTGCGAACCTATAATATTATATAGATCCCTATGTAGTCTTATTGTGAATTCAAATAAATTTTATTACCTATATTTATAATTTGGTATATTTACTGTAATGAGTTTTTATATATACTGTACGATTATGCCGCAGTTACTTATGGATTGAGTCGACACTTAGTACTTACTATTTGCAGGAGCCACATCTAACGTTTAGTTTCAGACGTTTCAGTGCATTGCTACTCGATTTTATATGGATTCATTACTTCCAGAAATAATCGATTCTAGGTTTGATCGAAGATTACCAATTAGGCCAGGCATTCCCGAAAAAAAAAGTTTAATACTACCATAGTTGTAGTATGATAATTATTATTATAGTTATTGTGATAAATTATATAAATATAATTACCATAAAACTTACGAATTTATTTGTTATGATTATAGTATCTTTAGCTATTTATTTTATTTCCAATACATCTTGAATTGATTAATAATTAGATGTTATGAATATTCGTTCTAAAACCTTTTTATAGAAAATTTGGCAATCAATGATTCTCGCACTCGAATTGCAAATGCGTTATACTTATTAATTATTATGAATTGATAAATAATATTAATAATAATAATAATAATAATAATAATAACAATAAAATAATATTGATTAATATTACATGCCTTGCGGCGTATAAAGGACGACGGTAATGACCAGGGTTGGGATTTTATAGCATTTGCATATTTCTTATGAGATGCTTAAAAAATAGCAGAGTAAGCTTAAAATGTGTTTCATGATACAGAGAACTCAAATAAAAATTTTATTTTGCTTTTTTTTTGCATATTTTGCGTTTTTTAGTTTATAGTGCTTTTTTTTTGGATTTTTTGAGACTTTTTTGCCTTTTACTTGTGTTTTAATCAAAATCGGGCATATTTTATGAAATTGTATTTTGGTAAACGTGTTTTTTTGATTTTTAATCGAATTTTCAAAATTCAAAATTTTAATTTTAATTTTAAATTAAATTATAAATGTAAAGATTAAGTAAATAAACCGATTACATTGATGCAACTCCGTACAATTATTGCGATAATATATAGTTAGGTATAATATAATACAATAATTTCGTTTTAGTTATTTGGTTCTAATTTTTGAATCTGCTGATTTTGTTGGTTTTTTTTCGATTTTTATTAAATCTACTAATAGCCGATAATCAACGAACGAGTGTAAAATTTGCTTTATACAGTGTGCTCGTATAAAATTATTTAATAATATATTTCCTTTTTTTTTGTTGTTTTCATTGCATATTTTTTGAACTTATTTAGCGAATTTTTAAGGTAATATTATAGTGCATTATAGTGCAATTTTAAGTGCTATAAAATTCCAACCCGGGTAATGACTAATGACGGTCCGTTTGCTGATAAGGTTGGAGCGTATTATTTCGAAGACATACACACCACTAATAATTGTTTACTAACGTACACACTCACAAGGCATAACATCACGCGTATAAGGTATTGTCTATACTCAACCCCTTAAAAAAAGGTCCGCTTCCGATCTCTCTTAAGAGGTGATTTTTATAGTTCGATACGATCTGCACAGCGGCCTCTAATGTTGAAATACGACACTAATATTATTACCTACTCTGAACGAACGTATGCTAGTCCACTCTAGCGGTATTAATCTGAGTAATTTAAATCAAAATATGTCACGGATAGTGTTGTAAAATTACCGCTATTTTATTTTTAGGAAACTTTACTTTTTTTAAGGTAATATTAGGAAATTTACTTTTCATACAATATACCTATAACGTTTAAATGTACCATAACTGTAAACAATATATATTATTTTGATTTAAGCCCTGATCATTTCCCTTTTTACAGCTATTCTACACAAGAATTTGCCAAACATGACGGATTAACCCGTATGTCGTGCTCACACGTGAACATCATTAAATAGTACTAATACCATTGGCGTGGGAGCGTGACGAACGTGCGAGCTCAAAGGCCGACGGCACATAACTGAATAATTATGCAGCACCCATCAAAAAAATGACAAAATTAAATTTTATGTTATTGACTACAATCCAAATTTTTAGTTTTTGTTTTCTAGTTATATTTAAACACGCTCGGGAGTGTTCGCAACCAGCCTTAATTTAATTAACAATTTCGTTGGAAAAGAGTGTAACACACACACACACACTGGACATATACCCTAAAGACACGATAGATAACGCAACGGTCCGACCACGCTTCGTCATGGTCAAATCATGAGCAGCTAACGATCAATTGAAACAATATTTTATCGGGGTGAGATCTGCTCTTTCCTAAAATTAAATATGTATCTGTATGAACTAGAAACGCGTACGTGCCGGTCAACATGCTGTATTTTTGGTTTTGTATGTTAAAACCGGGATCCCGCTGCGCGGCTCGTGTCATTCGTAGAGTTGTTGGTCTTAGGTATTGATGGGAATAATCAAATGATTTCAATATTCCAGATATTCTCTTGATTAATTAAATTATTAATAGCATTGATTTAAAAAAAAATATCAATTAATAGTCGAATTAATAATACAAAATTAAAAATATTGTTAAAAATATTCACGGTACCTAACACTTATTTTATTATAATAATGCTAATTTACGAGTACATTACACCTATTATTGTATAAAAACATATTACATTTGAATATAAAACGCTTATTTACGTCAGAAATAAAGATATTAATCATTATTATGCCGATGTAATTGTATTTATTCTCAAAATTGTATACATTATATTTTTCATGAATTATACAAATGAAGATGAATAGTGAATAGCTCGGTTTTGTAAACAAGACTGTTGCCTAAAGGTATCTATGTATATACTTAGAAATTATAAATAAATATTATTTTCAAGAGTTATTTTTTAACTAATTTTGAAGTTCCTTGTGTTCCATAAACAAGACCCTTGCATTAGGAATCTTAAAAAATCCAAAACACAAAGTTCAGATGCTTTGCGTGATTCGGAGATAACAATTACAAAAAAAAAATTGTCATCTATTAAAAAATTCACTTCAACTATAATTATTATAATAATATTATAATAATTAATAATTATAATAATTATTAGGGCTGCTTCATAATATTATTATGAAGCAGCCCGAATAATTTCTTATCGGTTATCAATTTTATTTAATAACATATTACATTTTATATTTTATTTATATATTAAATAATATCTTTTCCATAGCTACAGGCTCGAAACCGACGTATTAAAAAAAAAATACTTGAAGTCATTTTAAACTACAAATACTTCAGCTTGATAATGGTTGTCTTTTACTTTGTCATAGGGATATTAAGTTTGTGAACAATTTATTAATTTGAACTATTCACTTTGATGAACTATTCTGAACTGTTTAAGTTTCTGTAACTTAACAGTTCATAGTTCGAAAAAAAATTGGTAGCATTGTATAAATGATATAGTTCACGAGCTTCTTTAGAAATTTTCTGTGGTTCGTTGTTCGAAATCCTGTAAATGGTGAATAGCTATTTATAATTAGATAACAAATACTAAATTGCCCATAAGTAGTGTGAACTAATACTGAACTGTGTACTGCTGTACAAATAGTGATAAAACGAATAGTTCATTGCCAAACAATATCAGTATGATCAATTAAATTAGTGGACTACGTGAACTTAAGAAAAGTTCATTTTTGAACTATTCAATTGAACGAACTGTGAACTAAAGAACTATTCACAGAAATGTGAATTTTTTTCTAACCTTTTTTTTGGCTGCAGCAACAGGCGCCTTTTTGGCAGCTGGTTTCTTGGCAACGATCTTCTTCTTAGGAACGGATTTTATCGTCTCCGTGGCCATTTTGAAATGACTCGATGCACCTGAACCGTTGGTTTGAACCAAAAGTCCTTTTGCGACGGGAGCCTTTAGGAATTTGCGGATGAACGGAGCTAATTTGGTCGAATCGACCTTGTAGTTAGCGGCCATGAACTTCTTGATTCCCTGCAGACTCGAATCTTTCTTGCCCTTAAGTTCCTTAACCGCTGCGATAACCATGATCGCAGTGTTCGGGTGAGAAGAAGCGGCAGGTTTGGCCTTTGCCGTGACCATCTTCTTAGGACTAGTCTTGGCCACGACTGGAGCGGGTGTTGAAGTTACAACTGCGATGTCCGTCATTGTGAAATCTGTTGAATGAACTCTTAATTGGAGATATATATCGCTTTTCCGGCGAAACAACGATATAAGTGCAAATTTTTGACTTTTTGACATAAATACGACAACAGTACGATAACATTTCATTTTATCGAATTAACCAATGACATAAGTGTAATACCTATTATTGATCGCAAGAGAGCAGTTTCGTCGTTGTTGAAATTGCCGGTTTTTAATCATATGTTTGGGAGAACAATGACCTTGTTATCAGGTGTGTTTTATCTACCAACCGTGGTGCATCATTTTTAATTCTAAAACGATGTAACTGTTATTTATGCCATTTTTGTGTTTGATCCTGGTGCTACAACGACGCAAGTGAAAGTTGCATCATTGTTCATCTAAGTAAGCCTTATTTTTCATCTTTATCTAGTTAAACAACGTCGTAAGTATATATTCCGTCATTGTTGACTCCAAAATGTAGTTTTTTTTTTTAGTGTAACTGTTCTTTCTGTCATTGTTCACTTAATATTTCTTTGCTAATTGCCAATCCACAATTTTATTTTTATTTTGTAAACTGTGTTTTTAATATATTATAATGAGACGAACAAAGTTATTAATACAGCTAGCTACTCAAAAGGCTAAAATTAAGAAAAATACTGAGCTGGATAATGAAATTTCGCCAAAGAGTAAATACCTCATATTATTTATTGATTAAAATAAATTGCATTGCTTATACTTAGGGATCGGGCATTTAATTAATTTTTTTGGTTTGACATTAAATATATTTAAGTGTTATGTAAATGTATGCTATAATACTGGTATAGACAAATACAATTGATCGATTTGCATGAAGGAATTGAAAATAAGTAATAATTCAAAAATAAATGAATTTATTAAAATAAAGTTGTAATAATATTTTTTATTTTTATTACAATATTATTTTGACATTAGCGACTCCCGATATAACTACAGATTTTTTTTTTGCTCTTTATGCTTATGCTCATTGCTTCTTTCTTTACGCTTATTTAGTTGATTTTCCTAAGATTTCGACTTACGGCCAACATCATCCCAGTACATCATTTGAAACATCGTGTTGCATTGTCAAACAAAATGTATCACCAATAAAGCTAAAATTTCGTAGATTGTCAAAACAAATGAATTATAAAATAATAGTTGACGATTCATATAATGAGGGAAGTCTTTTTGGGGATGATAGTGACAAATATATTCCGCCACCAACAAGTGAAACATCTTCGGAAAGTGAATGTATTGACCAGTTGACTGATCTTCAAACAACTAATCTCTCTATAACTGTTTTGCCCCCCCAAAAAAGGAAAAAAAAGATCAAGAAACCCAAAGTAATTGAAAAAACTAAATTTAAACTATTGAAGAATTCGGGTAAAAGCTACACTTCTAAAAACGGGAAAAAATTGTTAACAAAAGGGTTATGGGGCCAAATTGCTTAGATCGATGTATACTCAAGTGCTCATCAAAGTTATCTGAAGAATACAGAACCGAACTCTTCAATAAATATTGAAGTTTGGCGTCATTACAGTGACAACGGGATTACTTAGCTTCATGTATTGAGCCTCTTCAACTCAAATATCGTCATATATTTTCTACAGAAAATTCTAGAAAGCAGAACTGTGCATTTTATTTGTTTTTTGAAGGAAATAAAATTCGGGTATGTAAAACCTACATGATTAACACGTTCGGAATAACAGAAAGAATGATTCGCACTGTCATTGCATCAAGAACTTCTGTTTAGTTACCTTTGGCTTACAAGCTGTTATGCCAATACCTACTGGGCAGAGTTCTGCATTTTTCTATAAATCAAGATTGAATTGTTTTAATTTTACGGTAAGTGAATAGTTATTGGAAATCTTAAAAAACCATTTTTTCGAGTCCTTATTGTTTATTGTAGGTATCAAAAATAATCAAAGGTCATACCATCTGCTATTTCTGGCATGAAGAAGTAGGACAAAGAGGTGCTATTGAAATTGGTTCATGTCTTCTAATGTTCATTAAAGAAATTGCTAATTCTCGTACTGGAAGTGATATAATATTTTACTCGGATAATTGTTGTGGTCAACAAAAGAATAGGTAAACAATTTAAATTAATTTATAATATTTTCTTGGCCTTATTTATTTATTTACAAGCCAGAAATCTAATATAATTCACCAAATATTTTAATAAAAAGAATATTATTTGTTTCAGAATTGTACATGCCATGTATTTATATGCAGTAGAAAAATTTAAAATAAATTCCATTACACACAAATACCTTATTCGAGGTCACACACAAAACGAAGGAGATACAGTTCATAGTATTATTGAAAAATCTATGAAAAGGAGTAAAAAATTAGGACCAATATACGTGCCCGATCAATTAGTGACTATTATTAGAAATTCGAAGAAAACGGGAAAACCTTTTATTGTAAAAGAGCTGAGCTTCAACGATTTTATTGATTTAAAATTGTTGACTGACAAGATTGGCTACAATTTTCAAAAAAACATAGAAGGTGAGCAAATAAAAATATCAAACATAAAAATTATAAGATTTGTGAAGGGCAGTGAAGTTTGCTTCAACAAGAATTCTTATAAAGACATTACCTGGGAAAAGGTCAAATAAAAAAAACAGGAACTAGGTGTACTGCAGCAAAGGATATTGGTAGTATAAAAACAAAACTCACTTACAATTCGAAAATTCCAATAGCTGAAAACAAGAAGAAAGATATACAAAGCCTACTAACATCCAATATCATTTCAAAATACTACGAAACATTTTATAACATCTTATTTTAATTTTACTTTGTAAATTTACACTATAAATAATAATTATATTTAAGTTTCAGACTATAATTTTGGTTATTTTTTACCAAAATTAATGAATAAAAATATTAGAGTATCAAATTATAACTGTAGTTTGTTTTTCTATAACTCCTACTTAATATAACTGTTGAATATTATAATAAAATAATGTCAAAAATTCAAAAACATTTGGCATTTTCTGGAGGAACAATGACACAATTGAAATTTTTTTATTAATTTTTAGTTGTATAAGGATAGTTTATATGTATTGCCAAAACTGTTAAATTTATTTAAAACTAGACTAAATTTGACATTATAAAAATGGCCGTTAATATTTCTTATGCCCTAATTAATAAAAACCATTAACAAAAAAAATTAAATTTAGTTTTATGAAGAACAATTAATTTTCACTTATGTCGTAGTTTCACCTGAGGAGCTAAATGAAAACTTCTTTTTGCTTTGCTTAGTGGAAGACCAAGGGTCTTCTCTATACCAGGCTTTGTGCCTTTGCTAGTAGTGGATGTTTAGGTAATGGCTTTTGTTTGAATGTGATTAAGAGGTTGGGTTTTCTGAAACCCAATTAATGGGACATGTTTTTAGACTTTTGAAGGTTCGAGAGGATTTGGGCTATTCTTCACGCCCAAGCTGTCGTATGTGTCTAAATCTTGAAAGAGAGTTTTTGTGAAAGAAAGAGGTGGCTTGGGAGTGGATTTGTGATTTCATTTGTTTTAAATCGGCTGTGGAGAGGATGACTCTATTTGTTACGTAGTTTGGAGCGCCAGTATCGTTCTCAAACCAATTGTCTGTACGGCTTCGATCTTCTTCATTGTGACTTGGTGATGAATGGAGCCCAGGCAACGGCTGCATACGTAAGTATTGGATTTTTATACATTTTGAGTATGTTTATCCTATTTCTCGTTGGGATAGGACTTCGTTTGTTTAGGATCGGGAATAGCATGCCGCGAGTTTTTGTTGCCTTTTGGGTTATATTTTGAACGTGCTGGGAAAAGATTAGTATGCGGCCAATGGTGACTCCTAGATATTTGACATGAGTGGACCAGGGTATTGGAGTGTTGTTGATAGATAGTTAAGATAGGTGTTTGGTTTGTTTACGGCTGAACGAGATGGCGATGGTTTTGGTAGCATTTATTCTAAGTCGCCATTTTTCAAACCAGTCAGTTGCCGCGCGTAGTTGTCTCTCAAATTGTATTCGAGCAAAGTTTGGGCTGTGGTTGGAGATGTAGAACATTGTGTCATCCACGAAAAAAGCGACGGAAGCACTTGCGAGGACAGGAATGTCATTTGTGTAAATGAGGAACAGTGTTGGAGCTAGGCAAGATCCTTGGGGAACACCTGCGAGGACAGCTCGGGGCAAGGAGAGTCGGTCTTCAATGCGGACACAGAAAGAGCGGTTTGATAGGAATTATGAGATTGTCTTGATGAGCCATGGTGGGATGTTAAGGGTTAACATCTTATAAATGAGGCCGTCATGCCAGACCCGATCGAACTCTTTCTCAACCTCGAGGAAAACAGAAGCTGTATGGATATTGCTGTTGAGGTTATTGCAGATGTGATCTATTAATTTTACCAATTGTTGGGTTGTAGAGTGCTCACGTCGGAAGACTGATTGTTCTGGTCTAATTTTGACTGTCAGGTGCTTTTGAAGTTCGGAGAGGACAACTTTTTCGTAGATTTTAAAGATGGACGAGAGTAGAGCGATTGGCCTGTAGCTGTCCGGTTTGAGAGAGTCTTTACCTGGTTTGGGGATAGAGATTATTGTGCTCTCTTCCAGGCTATTGGGAAGTAGCACAGCTTGAGGCAGCCATGTAGAATTTTAGTTAGAGTCAGGACCATGTTTTTCGGCAGGAGTCGTAGCGCGGTGTTAGTAATATTGTCCACGCCAGGAGTTTTGTTTTTTGGAAGTTTTGATAACAGCGATGAAATTTGACTTGGGGATGAGAACGTGTTATGACTTGGAGACTTGGTGGAGCTATATTGAGTATATGCTGTGACTTCAGGAAGAAGCTGCCCAGGGTTTGGTGTAAATTGAAGTGCGAGAGAGTTCGCAATAAGTTCTGCCTTATCAATTGCCTGAAAAACTAGACCGTTCGGACCAGATAGTGGGTGTGTGGCTGGGCGTTTGTGAAGTAGACTTTTATTAAGTTTGTAAACCGAGCCGTCATTGTGATTTAGGGTATCAAGAAACAAGTCCCATTCGTCTTATTTATGGGTAGTCAACATAG